TTGTTTGTCTTCAGATTATTTCTTTAGTAAATTAAATATCAAAATCTCTAGATTACTCAGAAGTTACTAAAGCCTATGTATCCGAAAAAGGTTCGGTACGTAGCATTTTGATGTGTCGACGCAATTTGTACGTGTAAAATCCAAAGTACAATGAATGTTTTCCATTACTCTACAGTTTAATTTATATTCACGCAGTGGAAAGTACACTTTTTATTTTTGTGTGATTATAAACTGGTTTTGCTTAATATTCTGCAATGACATGAATTACTTATTCTCGTTATCTTATATCAACTCAATAAAAACCTATGATTACAAATACCTTATTTCAAATTTCACTTGAGGGCCTCGCATTTCAGTTTTACAAGGACGTTGCAAAAGCTTTTATTTGTTTGTAGTTAAGCGCGAAGCTACACAATGGGCTCTTTGTGCACTGCGGGTATTGAAACCTGATTTTAGCGTTATAAGCCCTCAGACTTACCGCTGGCCTAGGGAGGTATTGACTGGTCTAAAATGGCAAAAAAGAATGGCTTTAAGATTTTAAATTGTCGTTATTTTTAATCATAGAATAAAGCTATTATAATTAAGTGTTTATGGCTAGTGTTTTCCTTATTATTGTTCTTTATTTTATTTTAGCTAAAATATACCAGAATTTTTGCATCAAGTGAAAAGGAGAAAGGACTACATAAACATGAAACCTGTTATTTACCTTTCCTTCCTCGCTGTATTGATGCCATGGGTATGTTTTTGTTTTGTTTTGTTTTTCATGTTAAATATTATATTTTATCTTTTCTTTTTGTCTTCTGCCTGCTCATGGGTAGAATCTGACAGACAGACAAATAGTTAATAGAAGCTACTCGAGGGCTATCTGCGCTAGCCGTCCTAATTTAGCAGTGAAAGACCAGAGGGAAGGCAGCTAGTCATCACCACCCACTGCCAACTCTTGGGCTACTCTTTTACCAACGAATAGTGGGATTAATCGTCAGATTATAATGCCCCCACGGCTGAAAGGGCGAGCATGTTTGGTGGGAAGGGATTCGAGCCCGCGGCCCTCAGATTGCTAGTCAAGCGCCCTAACCACCTGGCTATGCTGTGCCGGGTGATGAAAGCTGTTTGCCAGAACGGGTACTCATATGTGTATAAGATAATCTAAATATTCTCCATAAAGGCCTATTTATCCCTGCAAGTGAAGGAAAAACCAAAAACATCGTTCATAAGGAGGCTCTGATTTAAAACAGGTTCGTAGTTTATTTTCAAAAATCAAACCTAAGGTTTTTATTTTTCATAAATTCACAAAATACTTTTGCCTATCGAAATATGGAACGGGGAAACAGAGAGAGTAATCCCCCCCCCCCTTCAAAAACCGGGCAAAGCCGCTTAACGCTGCTAGTATATTACAACAGAGAACTAATAGGTATTATTCTGTACGGTGTCTAGAGATGACGCTTTAAACAAATG